AAAAAGGATTTTTTTTGAGGCTTAACGTGCCTCAGCGGCCAAATCACTATCAATAATGTGAGACAGCAATGAAAGCAAACAGGATGCTGGGCTGCATTGCCATATCAGTTTGAAAATCTCCAAAGGTTGTGATCAAGCTGTGCAGTCCTCCAACCCTCTTGACCCCAACTCGGATCCAAAACCCCCCGACTATCCAGTGCCCTGGATGTGAAGGGTGCTATACAAGTGTAATTTGCTGTTGTTGTCATACCCACACCTGGAGCAGCTCTGGTGGTAGCAACATAATAGGGACATCCAGTGGAGAGCAGCGAGCGTGATCTCTAGTGTAAGAGGGATGAGCGATGATGAGAAAGAAGTAAACAAAGACCCTGCAGTTTTGAAAAGGAAGTTCTCTGAGGTCATTTTAAAGAAGTATACAGGATGATTAAAGGGACAGAAGAAAAAACCTGAGAATGACAGCTGTAGATATGCCAAGTCAACTGGACAAGAGAGTACAGTTTCAGGGTTGTAAAGGGAAATTTTAAGCTAGACAGCAGGAGGAATTTTTTATACAGAGGGTAATCAATTGCTGAAACAGGTTATTTGTCAACAGGCTAACATTCAGCTGCTCCACTTCCAGTGAAGAAGGTTAAGGTCATTTTTACTTGCCATGTGTCTACAGTGCAATGCCAGAGACTCACACAACTTTGTTTTTTTTTAAAAATAAAGAAAATGCCAAAAGTCACATCAAGGGGTTCAGTTGTCTGGTAATGCAAACTAGAATCCTGGCAAAAGATGTGCAGACAATGTTTTTATTGAAGAAACCCAATATTCACCCACAAAGTGTTTTGAGACGACGCCATATCAAATGCAAGTATTATCATTATTCTTATAAAACAGGAGTTGCTGGCTAAGTAACGTGCTCCTCTTATCGTACAATATCAGAAGGAAATGGAGTAGACTTTTATTCTGAGAATATGTTAAACTACCTTAAGTCTGAAGGGACATCTATCTTAACAGGCGTCAAAATTAAAGGGACAAGTTATATCATTGTGAGTACACAGTATGTGCCAATTTGTTCCAACAATGTCAGTTACAAAACAAATCTTAAGATGTAGGGACAGGTGAGAAAAGGTGCCAGTACAGAGAGCAAAATATGCAACAGACTTTTGCTATTGCTTGCTCCAAATCAGGAGTCACCACAACAGGAAATGTTATAGACTGAAACTACTCAGCACTCCTATTCAGACAGTGGTTGGAATCACTCAGATTAGGTTCTTAATTTGGTTTAGTCATAATAAATAGGTGTGTCACCTTGGCTCAATGGTAACACTTCTTCCTCTCGAGTCAAAAGGTATGGTTTCAAATCCCATTTTGGGAGTTGAACTCACATAGTCTAAGATGACGCTGGGCATTATCGGAGGTATCGTAAAACTTTCTTCAGTATAACAATGGACTAGATTTTTAATCTGATAATGTGTTCAACTACCTTAATTTAGAAGGGATATCAATCTTATAATGTATGAGGCGTAAAACTGAGGTCCTGTGTACCTGTTCTAGTGGACGTTAAAGATCCCATGCCGCTATTCGAAAGAGAAGGGAGTTTCTTCCAGTGTCTTGGTCAACAATTCCCCCAAATAAAAAAATTGCACATTCATTTCATGGCTGCTTGTGGGACAATGCTGGGCGCAATTGTGCTACCGAGTTTACCTACAAATCAGTCACTCCATTCCAGTGATTCCTGCGAAGCGCTTCTTGTGAAGGATATAGTGCCTTATCATCTGAGATGTCTTTCTGAGGTGATGAGGCACTATATCAAATGAAAGGATTCTTATAACAAGGCCTAAGCTTGCCAACTGCAAAATGGAAGTTTCATGAGAATACATTATTAAAAAAAACCAATTTTACTAAACTAAATTCAACCAACAGGTTGGAACAGTTCGTCACATAATATATAGAAATAACAGTACATAAAACTCATAGCCTTTTCTCATTCTAAAGATTTGTAATGTTATAATTCCCTTGATTTATCCCGAGCAAGCACGTGTGCACTTATGTCCTAATTATCAAAGAAACACATGTTCAGTTTTGTACATAAGTGTAAAATAACTCTGTTTAAGTCTATCCCCAATGACCAATTAAGGGATTCTGTTCTTTACATTCTGTAACTGCTGCAATCATAATACACTAACAAAATTAAGTGATTTACCAGGAAAGAGGTTCTTTTAAACCCAAAGGCAAGAAAACTGTAGCGGTATGCGTTTGTGACTGTCAATGCTGCAGCTGAGCTAATCAGAAGTGCGTCCAAAGTAAGTGATTAAACCAAACCTCTATAGATTTTTCAAAAAAACGAATGTCAGAACACTTTAAATAACTAATTGTTATAGATAAAGTTAAGGTTTTATAGCCATCTTATAGCGAGGTAAACAACAAGAACAACTACAACAAATTACATTTGTATAGGCCTTTCACGGCGGGAGGACGTCCCAAGGCGCTGGACAGAATTACGGACTAAATTTGCTTTAGTTCATTCCTAGTGAGATGGACTACTTGGAACAAAACATGATCGGTCTATTTTGACTGTCTTTAATGATTAAACAGAGGCATATGGAGCAAAGAAACTTGCCGAAGGTTCCCTGTCCAGTAAGTAAACCCAGATCCTCTCGATTGCGAGGAGAATGCTCTAAACAATAAGCTAACAGACTCCATGTCCGAATCATGCTCAGAAACGTGGACATGGGATTATGAGACTCTTGCAATTAAATCTAGTTGTGTGCAGACATTTGCGTGCAAGCCTACAAGGTTACTGGGGAGGCAATCTAACTGTGCCACACATGCCTACTAACCTTGTGTATAACCGGATTTATTTTGGACGATATCTCAAATACAAGTGTTTATACAAGGGTACTTATTTTTGGATACTGTACGGTGAGAGAGGATGAAGAGACAAGAAACAGACAGAAAAAGAAAAGGACAGAAAGAGAGAAGAGAGAGAGGACAAACGCAAGACAAAGGCCGAGTAAGAGAGAATGGTAGAGACAGAAAAGGACATGGTACAGCATGATAGAATACTGATAGATAACTCCTGATGGAACAGATTTTTAGTTAGTATTGCAGTAATTTTGCTTACTGGACCAATTATCTGCACTATTTGCCTATCCACAATGAGGTTGGTCCCAAAAGAGTGTGGATCAATGTCGCTGGGCTACTCAACCATTGCGAAGACCAATTCTGTCGTCAGCCAGCAAGCACACAAGTACACCTTTAATAGCTCCTTCCCATAACATATCACTGGAGTGGCCTTGTGCACAAAGGTGACAAGTTCTATGGTAAAGCTATAGCGAAAGCATTGAAAAATTTGCTTTAGTTCATTCCTAATGGGGTGGACTATTTTGAACAAAACATGATCCTTTTATTTTGACTGTCTTAAATGATTAATAATAATAATGCTTACATTTGATACAGTGTGTTATCACGTCCTTGAGCGGTCTCAAAACGCTTCGCAGAATATATTGCAAAGTGAATTGACTGTATTTTGTGGGTGAAAAAACGTTTTAAGAACACAAAGGTGCCAAATGAAAGCAAAATGTTTTTTTCTCATCCACACGCCTGTGGTAGTAAGTTAGCAGTAAGTAGGAATCCAGGTGTTAGTCGACTGGCGGATCGCGGGGATAATAATCCCTAAAAGAAAATTAATAATTTGGTCACTCAATCCATGATTGTTTGTGGGACGCTCCTGTGCACAATTGGCTGCCGCGTTTCGCCCACAAATATACAACCAATTCACTTTACAGTATATTCTGTGAAGCGCTTTGAGATGTCTTGAAGACGTGAAAAGAGCTATATCAAATGCAAGGATTATTATAATATTATTATTAAATAAGGTGGATTCCAAGCACTGGATGTACGAACATATGTTCACAAATTCAGACTCCAGGTAACGCCTTCCAGCAGCTGTCTGCCCAAGCTTCAGAGTTTCCTTATCAGCTATCTAGGCGGGCATCTGCATACAAGTGAATAGTTTACAGCTTCTTTGTTTCAATATTTACTATTAATGATGTTTCATATCCAGCGCTGTCTTTCGCAGCATTATGCAACATTAGGCCTCAATTACATAGAGACTTAAAGTCTTCTTCCCACCCCCCGAGGCAACAGCAGAGAGAAATGCAAACTCCACCTCCCTTGCAGGTTGTACATGTAGTCATACGAATGGAATGAATTGTCAAAACACCCATATAGGACATAGTGCTATTTTTTTATTATTTTTATTTTTACTATTTTTAGTTGGCAAACAAATAGGAGCGGTCTGATTACTCATGTTCAATTTGGCCCCGCAATCTAATCAAAGTTAAGAATTCTTCTTTCCATTGACTCAGATGGGCTTATCATCAACAACAACAACTTGCATTTATAATAGCACCCTTCAGACAAGACTGGTGCACAGCTGTGGTTTGGTCACCGAGAAAGGGAGGAGGTGCCCATAGGCGCGGTCGCCTGTTTTAAAGAAAGAGGAGTGGGGAAGGATATTCCAGAGATTAGGGAAGTAGTGGTTGAAGGAGTAGCTCCTATATACAGTATAGCTCTGTTTTAATGTGTTTCTTCACAACACAAATTTATTATTACAAATGTAGCTTCTATTCATGTGGCTCCGTGCATGCCTGCTCACTCCCTGTGCCCTGTTCATTTTCATACTAAACTTTTATTTTAGCTTTTGGGTCATAAGTTAATCTCGCTATACGCGTGAGCATAGATGATAAGTAAAAGTGACATTGGCAAAAACCTGATGCAGTCGTCTTTCTTAAAAGAAAACAGCATGGGAAGCAGCCAGAGAGGGAATGAGTCAGCCTGCAGTGTGCAGTGAAACTGACTATTGCATCTCACTACTTTATGGATCCCAACCACGTCCCAAAGAAACAAGGCTCCACTGTACAACACAACCTGTTGCAGAAACTCCTTTGAAGCCCTGCCTCAGAATAAAATGCGCTCGCTCAACTCTGCAAAGGAAGCATTAGAATACATACCTGAAGCTTCCATAGACGATAAGTAGAATGGAGATAAGAAAAGTAGAGACTTGACTGGAATCCACAAGGGAATAGGCCCTGTCGGGAGAAAAGGAAACACTGTTCAAATTAACCATTTCAAATTCCGCATGAATCATCAAGCACATCTTAAAAATGATTGGCCCCCAAAACAAAATCCCCCATTTCACCCACAAAATACAATTGTTCCACTTTACAGTACATTCTATGAAGCTTTTTGAGACAACAATGACGTAACAATGACGTATCAAATACAAGGATTATTATTATTAAATAGTTTGTTCAAAATTCTGTTGCAGCTTTCTAAATATTCTATTTTCCAAAACCATTATTTTCTTCAAGAATATAAAATGCCGAGATTTCATCAGTTCATTTGGAGATTAGATGTACTCAAGTAAACGTTACTGCTCCTTCCCAAGTCTTAAACTCAAATTTTCAAAGAAAATCACTGCAACATAATGGCTCACTCAATATTTTGAAGAAATTTTTACTTAATACTGTACTGCTTAAAATCAACACTGAATCAATATTAACATGTAACCTAATCTTTCTCTGACTGCATTAGTGTTTTAATTAAATCTCTAACTGTATAATGATGTTGACTGCTTTAATTATTTCTCCTGTGCCAAAGCGCTGAGTGTTCGATTTCACATTTAAGCTTGTTACTTTTACCACACAAAATAAATTCTGAGCATTTACAGGGGTAAGGATATATTCTTGCCTTCATGTACTACTTATAAAAGAAAATCACAAAGAAACAATGAATTATTTCAAGTGTTGTAATGTTCCCATATATTTAAGTTTTAAAGCTGAAGCATTAAGAGCCTTCAGCCATCATCACTCACATCCTCTGAAATAAGACTTGAGGAATATTTTTAGGCACCAAAGTCTGTATTAGTCTGTGGGGAGACTTATGTGACAGTCCTGAATGTACAGATTAGTGAGACAACAGAGGTTAAACAGTACTGTGTGTATATATATACACAAAAGGATAATAGTGCAAAGACATTTAAAGTTCTATTGTGTACACTGCATTTTGGAGAATAGGATGCTGAGAAACAACAAGGATGAAAATCAACAACAACTTGCAGTTATATAACACCCTTCATGCGGGGTAGTGTCCCAGATCGCTCAAACAATTTGCTTTTACCACTGTTCCCCCATCCTTCCTGAAATGTTTCTGCTTGAATTTATCTGTCCTTCTTGGCTGCCTTAATAATAATAATAATAATAATAATCCTTGCATTTGATATGACGCTTTTCACGTCTTCTAGATTCTGAATGAGACTCTGTCCAACAGTTATATGAATTTTTCCTCATCCATATTTCTGATATTAATGTTCTCCAAATGCCTTCATAACTTGATTATTACTGATCTCTGGCCTGCTATTAAATCAGGGCACCACAGTTGAAATATAACGGGCTGGGATCAACTTTCTATTTGAAAATGAATCAAAATCAACTTCACATGCTATGGATAAAGTGCAACAAACATGCATAAAGTGAAACAAAATAATTCCCTCTAATTGATAATCCCAGATTAATGCATTGTAACCCAACTAGGTTTATAGTGAATACATTCCCTATAGGTGACAATAATGCATAATTTGTCCATTACATTTCCCCAGCCTGACAAATTGAGGAGGGCAGAAGAATGAAAAAGAAAATGGTAATCTTTTCCGGTTGGTTTAAGCAGGTGTTCTGACAGAGTTGACAAGGGGCACCGTTGATAACATTTATGATCTTTTCTGGATTATCCCACTCATGAAAAGGTGTGAGGTGTGGACTTTTTTTATTATGTTTGTGTGTATTGAGCGGGGGGGGGGGGGAAACAAAAAAGCAGTTTGAAAGATGAACTATTCAAGTTTTAAAGTAGGCCTATAAAGAAGACTGAATACTGTTTACTTAACAACACTACCACGTATTACTAACTACCTTAACAAAATCTACAACTTGCATTTATGTAGCGCCCTTCACGTGGGTAGCGTCTCAAGAGTACTTGAGACACAAGACACATTTCTTGTTCAGTGTGGTGAAATCAGAAATGTTGGAACCTTAATGTAAAGATTTGCGAGTCCGATTCCCTCCCCACCCTTAGCTACTGTTTACTAGCCGTAAGGATAACCAGAGGCATATGGATTAATTAAATCTTCATGTTTTAAGAATGATGTTTAAAAAAAAATCTGCTCTATACAAATCTGCTCTATACAAATCTGCTTTACAAATGTGATTTTGTATTGTACTGTATGTTCACAAAGCGTAGATTGAGAGGCAATATGATTGGTGTCTTTAAGACTCTAAAAGGGGATCATCAATTTAGATCATGACAGGCTACTGTCACACTAGTCCACAATAGTAAAACCAGAGGACATGGCCTGCGATTGAAGACGAGTAAATTCAGATCGAATCTACGGAAACACTATTTCAGTGAACGAATAGTAAACTTGTAGATCAGGCTTCCTAGGAAGACGGTTGAAGCAGGAAATGTTGATTCCTTCAAACACAGATTAAATAGTATTCTTTTAGGAAATAACATTATGGGATTATAGTACATAGGTAGTTCGGGACATATGTGACTGCCAGGAAGATGAAAGGCGAACCAGAAGGACCTCAATCTTTTTTTCGTCTAGCATTTCTTATGTTCTTATGTAAAAGAGAGGGGTGGGGAGAGAGAAGAGCGCTAAGAATTCATACCAGAGATTGCACAATCTGGTCATTGTTGATTTACGTTTAAAACTAAATCCATCACTGGTATTAATCTGTTATGTTTAAGAAAATGCCTTAAAGAGAAACCACATATTTCAGTCAATAAACCATGCTCACCCGCCGCGAGTGAAATTCCATACCTATGACGGGTGTAGTTCAAGGAAATTTAGTAATAGTCTCCCTTTTCTTGTAATCTCGACTCCTTTTTCCATCTATTTTATGGTTTGTTGAATGCCGACCTTGTACCTCGCCCAAGTGATAATTAGTCATGTGTGACACCCAAGTGAGTATTAGAAAGCTATTTGAGCATCATAACCAAAAGTGATCCTGTCCTTTACTAACCTATACATACTTATCTTACATCTATACATCTTCTAAAGTCCTCTGGTTAGCTAAGCACAACTGCAAATTTAGGTGTCAGTATGGATCAGCTGGTAGCACTTTTGCCTCCGAGTCAGACTCTGCCACTGTCAAGCACTCCAGACACTATCCCGCTATATAATGGAGTCCTGTAGCTCAGTGGTTAGAGCACTCGCTTTGCAAGTGAGAGACCTGAGTTCAATTCCAGGCAGAGGGTGAAACCTTGGGCAAGTTTCCTTACTCCACACAGAGCCTAATAATAATCCCTTCAAAACCAAAAACAATAATAAATTGGTCATTTTCAATCTACGACTGTTTGTGGGACATTGCTGTGCGCAGTTGGCTGCCGCGTTCGCTCACAAATATACAGTTAATTCACTTTACAGTGTGTTCTGTGAAGCGCTTTGGGACGTCCTTGCATCAAATGCAAGGATTATTATTATTATTATTAAATGCAAGTTGTTGTTGTTCTTATGGGTTCAAGCAACACATGCCTTTGAGCTCACAGTCTAGGACTCCATTTCACTGTCTGATGGACGTTGATAAATAGTTGTTAGGTCAAGGTATTAAGGGATATGGAGCAAGGCCGGGTAACTGGACTTGAGGTACAGATCAGCCATGATCTTATAAAATGGCAGAACAAGGGGCTGAATAGCCTACTCCTGTTTCAATGATTGTTGGTCACTGCTGTGTGACAAATGGATGTGCATGCACCTACTCATACCAGGTGGTGTTTTTAGCGCATAATAAAATAATAACCACTGCATTTGATATAGTACTTTTCACATCAGAAGGACATCTCAAAGCTCTTCACAGGATTTACTGTGAAGTGCAGTGATTATTTTTATAGAACATGGGTGCTAATTTGTGCACAGCAATGTCCCACAAACAGCTGTAAAATGAATCGTGAATGACTAATTTTAATTAGGAGATTGTTGGCCAAAACACTGGGGAGGAACTCCCTTCTCATTTTGAATAATCCTTTAATGTACACCTCAACACGACAGGATCTTGTTTAGCCGCTCCAACATTGCAGCATGCCCCTAACATAGCATTGGAGCGTCACTTTAGACCAGGCGTGGGCAATTATTTTGGGCCACTTCATGAGTTTTGGTAAGCTTCGCAGGCCACAACTTAACATAGATGCAAATGCTTAATAATAGCTCAAAATCAAGACTTACACTTACTTACACTTGTACATGCATAAAATAAAGTCTATATAATTGACATTCATTAAAATTAGGTTAAATAAAAACTCATTGAGCAGACATTTATTCGATATTTATTAATTTATTCACATATTGATGAGAATGTGAGAAGCTCACTCCATGGGAAGAATGAAAGTGCTGATGCGGGTTAACCAGACAACTGAAGTCAGGCATCGTCTCCGTTGTTGCAATGCGGAGTACTGCTGCAAGGTGGTCATCAGTCATCGCAGATCTATGTTTTGATTTATTGAATTTCATCACAGAAAATTCTCCTCGCATATGTATGTTGATCCAAACAGCACAAGCATCCTCCGGGCATGAGCCTTTATTTTCTGAAAGGTTTACTCATTAAGAGAGGCATAAAAACTGGGAAGCATCACTGATTTGAATTGCTCCGTAAGCAATGGATCAAATTACAGGTCAATAGGCTCGAGTTGGAGGTCAAATGGGGCTTTGTCAACATCAAATGAGAAAGGTGAAGAGACCCAAGGCAGGTCATTTTCAATCAAATTGAAATCGGCCAGAAAATTCGGAATGTAAGGCAAGTAGTGACGAAGTATACTTTTTAAGGCTTTGATTGCAAACAGTTGGAAAGTGAACAAACTGCCTGTTTCCTATCTGATGCAATAAAATAAATAATTTTGTTATAAATGACTTGAGACTGCAATACAAACTGTGCACAAAGGCCCCCTTCCATTGCTGTTTTGAATTCAGTTCATTCATGTGGTCCATGATATCAACGGCAAATGCAAAATCGGAGAGCCAATTCGCATCATTCAGCTGTGG